TGCTATACAGAAAGATCAAGTAACATAGCTGTCTCTGGATGTCAATGTGCCCATTTGTGAAACAGGGAGCTCTCTGTAACTTGTTTTTGTGACTGGCATATCAGTAAGTGAAATCCTCCTGGGTGCTGCTGCTAAAAATCGGTGGTGTGCTGGCTGTTGATGAGTTGAGACCTACTTACATGGCCTCAAAGGGCAAAGTAATCAGTGCACATTTTTTCCTTTTCCTTCCTTCCTTATTTTTTGCATTAGCTTACTTATACTGGAAGTCACATACCTTTAGTAGCCACATACCTCTTCTCTTACCACTAATCAGACTGGTTTTTGCTAGGACAGTTTTCCATGAACTTTCAGTCCAGGGTAACTGTTGCACTGAAGAGACTAAAATATCTGGACTTGATGAGCCTCTCTTTTTTAAGGATATTACACATGCACACAGATGGCAAGGGAAGAATGACAGGGGAGCCAAGACTGAGCAAGTTTCAGCAGAGCAAAGAGCTTCACAAGTGCAAAAGGAAAGCCCCTAACCCCACTGCTTGTTATTCTTGCTACATGATTCCCTAGAGAGAGGCTGGCCCACTGGAAGGCAAAACTCCCTATTTAGGAGATTCAGAGATGAGAAGAAGGGAGAAGGTCTGAGAAGTGGTGGAACAAGACAGGGTGAAGTATGTTAGGGGAGATACAGAGCAGAAGAAAAGCAGAACTGGTATTTCTCAGCTTCACTGCTTTGATCTTTTCCTCTCTTGACCCTTCTTCATTAAAACTGAGACCCTTTAGGACAAGTAGCTTTTTCTCTTACTTTCCTGTTAAATAATTATTGTGATTGCTTGACTGTTTTGTCTGCTTCTTCGCTGTGCTCACCTCATGAAGTGTGTAGAGCTCTTGTAAACATTACCACAGACTAGAAATAGCTGCTGTTCACTCTGGGACTGCCTGGTTCAACCTCTGCACTGCCCTGTATGAAGAATTTTTCCCACTCAAGATGTAGGTGCTTTCCGGTAGCCTGTGGAGCAGAGTGGAGTCATAGGAGAAAGGCAAGCAAAGGAGAAGAGTCCTTTAACCTGAGCTATGAAACAGACTGTGCTCATGACATCTCTGCCCTGGGTTGTCTTAGACCAATCCTTCTCCAACCCTTTTCCACCCTAGGCAGAAAACAGTAGGCATCTCCAATCATTGCTTTGGCTATTATCCTGACAGATTAATCCAACAACCCCTAGCTTTTCCACTGGGACCTGAGGGGCTGTCACTGCTATCCCTGGAGCTGTTGTCATGCACAAAGGATGACAGAGGAGCTCCTTTTGCTCCCAGAAGAGCTCAGTTGTCCCTGGATCCTGTCCTTACCAAGTGGCACCCAGCAGTGTAGGTGGCAAGAGCTCTCAGGACTGCTTCATGGTGGTTTCTAAGCTAGAAAGGGACCCTGGGCTGCGTGGGAATCTGGTGATGGTTCCCAGTGCACCTGGGTGCAGGGAACTAAAAAACCCATGTGCTGTGCCAACTGTAATATCAGCCTGATGACATCATTGCTTTTCTGGTGATAGTGGGTGTGGACCCTGAGCTTTGGACAGTGTCAGTCAGTCCTCTAAGCTGGTCTTTTGTTGTGGGAAGGAAATGTTTCCTATCATATCGCTTCTCAATCTGCTGTTCACAGTTATAGTTTGGTGAAGTCCTTAAATAAGCTTAACTTTACTCACGTGCTGTCAGGTTTTCAGTTTTATTTCCTAAGTATATGATAGTCTTGTGATTCTTTCCTCTCTCCACTCAGGTCTATCTGTTAGCTGCCTCCCCTAGCAACTTTATCAGGTATTGGCCCTTTTGAACCAAATTTTCCAGAGTCACTGATGTCACACATAACAAAGCTATTGCAAGTTTTGTGAAGAGCAGGGACTTGGAAGGAAAGAGGCTGAAGTGCCCTGAAAGAAGAAAACATTGCCATGAGAGCTCAAGCCTCACAGAACACCAAAGGACCCAGTTAAGAGAGAGCCTCATGTGCTCCTCACTCCTGGGAGAGGCCCCAGTCAGATCTTGTTACTGATGAGCTACATATTTCAAGGAAATCATGCTGGATCTCTCCTGCTCTTTTCTTGATGTCTCAGATAATTCTTCAGTTCTTTGTTCTTTGGGATTACTCATTTCTTATAAGGTGCAGGTGGGAGAAACAGAAAGGGTGGACTTTTTGGGGGTTTTCTGGACTTAACATTTATTAAGCCCATTTCCTTCTGTGTGCCCACACACACATGTACATCAGGCAACAAGATGTAACAACTCTTAACCACCCAGCTCAGACCTTTGCTTGGCTCCACACCTGCCTATGTGTCAGATGGAAGCTCCCGATTATTCCTAGTGATGGACACCAGTGCCACTGTATGAAAGCGGGGCTAAGGACATGATGTTTTCCAAGCTGTGGAAGCAGCATGTCTCATTGTAAAACAACAGGAAAATTGTCAGTACAGTAAGGTGGAAAAGCATAAGGTGCCCCAGAAAGGAGCATCTTACCATAGGCAGCACCCTGCACTGGGAGCCTTCCAAGCCAGCTGGCAGGGAATAGTCAGGGATAGAGTATTTATGTCTTAGATACTTCATTTTAGGTGTAAAGGACCTTCAGCACTCAGAGCCCTGAACCCTCTACTGAAATTAGATATGTAAAGCCTTCCTGAGTGAACTTTTCCCAGGTTTGGCTGGAATGAGAGCCCTGTCACTGCTCCTGTGCCCACAGAGCAGCTCACTACTCTGAGTATGTGCTCAAATTACAGGAGAGCTGGGTTCAGTTGCTGACTGCTTCCAGGGATACTGATCCCAGGCAGCTCATATCGCAGGTGAACACATCTCAGCCAAGGAACCACTGCAGCCATTTCTTTCCTTCTCCCTGTGCTGGTGAGCATGCAGTGAAGTCCAACAGCTGGATGAGCTCTGGCAGAGAAAGTTGAAAATTACCCCCGTGGCACATTATGAATGAAATCACACGAAAGAGCAGATTACAACCTGGCTTGCCTACTCCTTTCCTGAGTGCTCCCATGGTTGAATTAGTACAGAAACTGGGAGCACTAACATCGTGCTGGGCTGTATCCTGTGCAGGATAGGACATATTCTATCTTCTCTGTTGCCTTGTGAGACCCTCTCCCCATCTGATTCCCTTGACTGACAAAGGCAAAGAAATGTTCAGTCGGCAGATTGCTCTGTACTTGGGCTGTCAGACTGCTGCTGTGGCAGTTCCAAGTCCAGGGGAGGGACTGTGAAACTGTGAGACATGCACTGAATCAGCATTGCAAGTGCTTGGGAAATTTTGAGGTCAAAGCCACAAGTGCCAGCTGATGTGTGGCACAGTTAGCTGGTAGATGAGCACTAGGGGACTGAAGCACTACAATTGTGTAAAGTCTCCTGCAGATCTAAACCTCAGGCTCTTGCCCAAGGTCACATAAGAAGTCCATGGCAGAGAGGCAGTCAGAAACCAAATAAATCATGAGAGTCCTAAGCTCATGTTATCAACTGCTGAATCCAAACCTGAAAAACAAAAGTTTTAAGCCAGATTGTATTGAATCCATCACATGCTTGATAGGTCTGATTGCTACCATCAGTTTAGGTGTCATGGGGACTCAAACTGATAGTACACAATGGACCACAGAATCATAGAAACATAGAATGGCTTGGGTTTGAAGGTATCTTAAAGATAATCTAGTTCCAACCTCCCTGCCATGGACAGGGACACATTCCACTAGACCAGGTTCCCAAGCACCCCATTCAACCTGGCCTTGAATACTTCCAGGGATGGGGCATGCTTCTGTCAGGTTTCTATAAATATGTCCCTAGTAACAGTGTGCCACCTATCAAGCACAAAATAGCTATCCTATTAAACAACAATGGAATTATACTACCAACAATACTCATTTCGCCTGGAGTTCCAGCATAATTTTTTTCTTTTCTTTGCCAAGTGTTATTTGATCACTCACCTGCAGAAAGTAACTGTTGCCTGACAAGTGACTAAAATCTTGTTAGTTTTAAAATCTTTCTTTCAGGCAGTCATGAGGCTTGCTGAGGAGGTCAGCAGACCTTGAACTTGACACTGGACTTTTTTGGGTCTGAGTCCTCAGTAAGCATATTTTCTAATTCACATTTGCTATACTTCTAAGGATGCAATGCATTTTCTCTCTGGATCTGATAAATGAAGTTTAAGTGTTTCTTCTGCAATTTGCACTTTCTTTCCAAATGTGTCTTTTAGCTAAGAGGGAATGTTTGCAGACCTGTAGCAGGAAACAGGCACCTAACAATCCAGGCTTGCAGCTGTATGACTCCCTAGATTACAGCTACACTACAAGAAAAAATGCTACTAATCTACATTGCAATTTTTACCATGATTTATTTTACTGAGGATTCGTTCACGAAACAATTAACAACACTCTTTTTCTAGCACAGAAGTGAATGGTTTCATAAACGAGTAGGTATAGACTGATTCCAAGCGGGCAACTAAGTGTCAGAAAAACAAAAAGGGATTTAATGCTGCACCGATGGGGAGATTTTGAGATGGGGAGCTAGGACGCCTGTGTGCTGCACAACTTGATAAGGCTTCTTGGCAGATTTCTCCTAGTGGGATAAAAAGTGGGACTGAATCCAGAATAAGAGTAGGATACTGGCTTGCACAGAATGAGGAAGGATCGAAAAATTTCAAGCTACGTACTCAGGTTTGTGCTGAGATTTGAGAAAGCTCAGCTGAGCTGAGTTCCTGTTGCTGAGGTTCTCAAGGTTACTCGCTATTGCCTGGGTTTCTGACACACAATCCAGAAAGACTATTTCCCAGCAAACAACTGAGAAGAGCACAAAAGAGGCTTTTTTTCTGGGCTTTGAAGAATTCAGGCAGGGGCTAACTCAAACGCAAGTAAACAAACACAAACTTTTGGGTGCTCAGCCTCCCCTGCATGAGACCATTTGACTGTCCTGTCCTATGGCTCCTCTCCACAGCTCTGACCAGAGCTGTGATACTGATCCCGACTGGGACATGCAGCAGCACTTACCTCCAGGACCATCTCTGTCATCTGGAACTGCTTTTGGGAGACCTTGTCAGAACTCACAGGCTCATGGAAGAGCAGGCAGAGCATGTCATACTTCTTCAGAGCCTGCTTGTAGTTCTTCTCGTTCAGGTCGATCACTCGGTCTTTCCCATCGTAAGTGGGGAAGTTCAGTCCCTCTTCTGCTTTGCAGCAGAAAAGCAGGTAAAAACCTGCCAGGATCCAGCAAGTTGCCTTCATAGGGGTGCCCTTGGAGTGCACCAAAGGGTGGGTAAATGTCCCTCTCTTTCTTGATTTGGGAAGAGGGGGAGACCAAGGCTTCAGGTGAAGTTTGAACTGGGTGTCTCTTTCTGCTGCCTTCCTGGTGATCAGCCCAAACACTGCAAGGCTGGTGGGGAGCAGCAAACTTTGCTGTCCTGGACTCACAACAAAGAGAGAGACAGACAGGAGAAGCTGTGAGGCCAAGCCCTGGATACCTTACATAGCTGTGTCCAGCTCCCGTGTCATTAGGAACTCCATTTTTAGGAAGCAGTTGTTTCAGGCTAAAAATAAACCCTGCAATGAATAAAAAGGACAGATATGACACTATTGAGGGACTTGCTGGCACTCTGCATCATCTGAGAGAGAGGGAATGAGCAAGAGGGAGGGAGTGGAAGATGTCAGTCCTGGGAATATGCAGGGAGGGTTTGTGAAGGGACAGACCTCACTTATACAGGGAACCAAGGCACACTTGTCCTACTAGGGCTTCACAAAAATAGAAGGTATTTACTGCAATGTATAATAAGGGTATCTCTCTTTGCATCCCTTTGGGCATCACAGTGATTAGGCTTTTGATAACAGATCTTGGGTTAAACAGTTTCATGAAGAGCCTTCTCTGCACCACTAAAGGAAAAGTCCTGTTTCCTCAGCAGCAAAGGAGGTGAGCACTCCTGGGACTCCCTCCTCCTCCTGCCTGGGGCACCGTCCGTAGCTGCTGGCTGACATTCAAGCTGTTTTCTGAAGCACATTCTCTGCTTTTGGGGCAGCAGGAGAATTGCTCGCCCTTGGATCTGTAATCTCAAAGCAGAGGGAAGCTTGTGTTGCAACCTCTCATGCCCACAGCACTCACCAAGTCCCACACATTGCTGGCAAGTGGTTAAAACCTAATCATACTAAGGGGGATGAAGGGTGGGAAGCGTGTGCCTAGGCCAATATCCAGGGCAGGAGACAGGGCTCTCCTCAAGAGGATAGTCGGATGCCACCATCACCAGCAGCCTTCCTTTCTGTTGGACCGGAGTGGGTTTTTCATGTAAACCTGTTGCATTTCTGTTGCAAGTTGTTCTGCATATTCCTTCATCTTCATGTCCCGGGAATGACGATCAGTTCCTCCTTCCCTAGGAGCTTGGCACCAGTTGCTGCTTTGCTGTATCACCTGCACAACGCTGCCGGGGGAGAGCGGTTCTGTGGCACAGTGTCTCAGCTCTTCCCCTCCTCTGACCAGAGTGTCACCTCTGCCCCATGACTGGCAGCGACAGGCAGGTGGAGGCAGGCCAGCTGGCCACAGGCCAGCACCAGGGCTGGCGTGGATCCGCTGGAGAAGGCATGCTGAGGGGCTGGCAGAGAAGAGCTTGACAGGGGGCACGGCTCCCTCCCCCTGCCAAAGTGATGTGCAGACAAGTGGCCTTATCAGGCCTCCTCCTTGCATGCTGCTCCATCACAGCCTTGTTCTATCCACACCGGGAAAGGGATGACATCTCTTCTTGGTGCAGCTGTTCCCATTTAATTGTATGTCTGGGATTATTTCAATATTTGGGGCAAAAGGCGAGCATTACTTAGCTATTACAGAATCAAAGAATCATTTAGGTTGTAAAAGACCAGTAAGTCCAGCCATTAACCTAACACTGCCAAGTCCACCACTAACCCATGTCCCTAAGCATCACATCTACACATCTTTTAAATACCTCCAGGGATAATGACTAAAACATTTCCCTGAGCAGATTATACTTATCTCCTGGGTAATTTAGGAGCACACATCCCCCTCAGCTTTCACTTCCGACCTGAACAGCCCACAACATACTAACTGAAACTCTGTGGGCAACAGTTTTCAAATCTGTCTTGTTTCCAAAGCCTTCTCTTACTTCTGCTCATGCTTTTTCAGAAGTTCAATGTTTGCTAGCAACTTAAACTACTAATGATGAAACCTGAGGAATCAGGGTAAAAACCAAAGGCAGACAGCCTCCAAAGCACACTTCCTACAGAGGCGCCCTTCAGGACAGTCATTTTTAGAGGGAGATGTGACAAATCTTGATAAATCTGATTGCTTTTAGTGGGAGACACAAGACTTGTGTCACAGTGGGTGGCAATGGCTGGCTAGGCTTATGGTGAATGTTTAGGATGTAAAGCACGGAACTGAATTTGTGGGATGACTAGGCTTACATTAGGCTGGTTGGTTGCCTTTGAAGGACCTAACGGATTCAGGATGCAGGAACAGGCTTCTACTGGCATCACAATATGTTTTAAAGCGGGCACACATCAGACAGGGTTGTAAAAATGAAACATTCACAGCTACTTCAAAAATTGGCTTATGAGTCTCCTGACCTCCTTTATTCTTGGAGAACTTGAGGAATTGCTCCACTTTCATATTGCTTAAGCTATTTTTGAGGTACCTTTTAATTTGCCTAAAAATAGATACAATCCAATTTTCATTTTGTCTTTTTTCTAGAGAAGAAAAATGCTTTCTATTCACAGAAGTTGTTGCCTCATTAGCCCCACATACATCTAGTTTATCTGCTTGTGGCATGACTAGAAAAATCTGTGATTGTTAGGCTTCATCTCTGTGTCAAAGGGAATTCCTCCAGCAGACTGACACTGGGTGTCATGGGCACCATCTCTTTGTGTCTCCACTCAGGACCTTGGTGGTACTGCTAGGGCTAAATCTAGTGGACATTTTCTGTGGTCTTCTAGCTCTAGATGCATTTAATATGACATTCAAGACGTCTAGTTCACCAAGTCAGAAGTAAGGATGAATTCCTCAAAATCTGAACAACTGCCTCAATCACCTGAAATTCTTAACTCCAATAAACTTCAGCCAAAGTAGATGTTCTCCTTGCAGCCCTGCCAATACAGATCTGAAATCTTGGATTCATGTGTTTTGGAATGTTTGGAACAGCAGCTAAATACTTGAATCTGAAGAGCACTACTTTGTTTTATTCCCTGGGGAATAGTAGAGCTGGGACTGAAGCAGTTGCTCCCCCAACCTGACAAAGGCCATAAGTATTGTGTCTTTCTCTTCATCATCTCTCTGGGTGCCAATAGCAGCACACTGAAATGTGCCCATCTAAGCACCAGAAGTAAATCTCCTTGGAAGTTCAAAGCTTGTCCAACCACTCTCAGATAATGTTTTAAATTTGGAATTTTTGGGCAGGCTCACAGTCAAGAAAAGTTCAGTGTGCAGACCTCATGCGTTTGGGGAACCTGAGTTTTATTGAAGGCCCATTTCTACAGGACACTGACATAAGGTTTCTCTTTGTGTCAGATCTTCTCCCATGGGATAGGAGCAACAGCAGTTCCCCATGGGAGGGAAGGATGAGGGGAACAAAGAAATTCCACAGATTTCTCTGTGAAATCTTGGATTTTGCACTCACCAGTTCACTACAAATATTGTGTTATCTTTCTGCATACTCCAGTGTCTTCCTGATCCCATTTAGCTGCCTGTGATTGCAACACGTCTGTTTCTGTGGGCAGTGTCATCCAAGGAATGATAAGGTACTCACTGTATCCTGGGACACTTGCCTTTCAGCTCAGATAGCTCATTTCCTGGCAAAGCTGGCATCTGTTAATCTCTGATATAAGTTAACTGCAAGGCTCAACCTCCCAACTCTGACTACTCAACCAGTGACTCCTTCATTCATTCTGTTACCTCATCACTTAGTCCTGCCTCAAGAAACCAGTATAATACTTTTCCCCATCTAACCATCCCTGAAAGCTTTCTGAGAAATGAACAGGTAGAGCTCAGTGTCTGTTCACCTGAGGTGGTGCCCATGTTGTTCAAACAACCTTCAGAATTGGCTCTGAAACTTCAGGCAAAGAAAGAGATAATTAAGGGGAAAAACTTGCTGTTGGTTTATCCACTATTCTAGGCTCTTTGGGCTCATTCATTGAGCAAAATCCTGGCTCTGGGGATTTAGGTCTCAAAACCACTCCTGACATTCATTGAAGTAGGATTTTACTTTGTTTCTTCAAATTTTGTGAGGATACATAGCCAGCAACAGTGCTCAAAACAGCACAGTCTCAGCCCTTCAAATTTGGCTTCCAAAAATGCTGAGTGGGGATGTAGGATAAATAAAAATTTTCTTCTTGTTGATTTTTTTTTTCTGACTCGTATTATAAATTAAGGATATACACTTTCTGCTTCTCCCTCCTGGCTGCTGCAGTTACACTCTCACCTTCACTGTCCTTTCTATCTCAAACAGTAAAAGAGGTCCCCAGCCACCACTGATCCAAATGCTTCGGTGAGCCTTTTTTCCAGGGCTTCAGGATTTAAGGTTCTGCTTCAGCTAATCTCTTTTCAAGCTTCTAAGACCTTGTATGTTTTGCAAGATAGGAGTATTCAGAAAATATGCCTTTTTCCACCAGCCAGCCAAGCAAGGTCACAGCTAGTAGTAACTTGCAGTGTACTGCTGTCATGGGGGTGGGAGCCTCAGAGACACACTGAACCCTTCTAAAGAGACCAAGGGGATCACTGTCATCCTGAGAAAAGCTCTGCAGTTCGAGAAAACCCAGTTCTTTTTCCATTCCCTTCAGCCTTGAAAGGTGACAAGTCCTTCATGGTGCTTTACATTGCCTGTACTCTCAAGCAGACATGCCAGTGATACCAAGTACAAGGCAGAGAAACTGTATCATTGGCGTTCCTGCCCTTTTTTCCTGTTAAAAACTGCCAGAGACCTTTTCAGCACCTGAAAACACTTCGTATATTTTGACTGAGGTGTCCTGAGACCTGCTGTGTGGTAAGAGGATGCTATAAACCTTTCTATTTTACAACGCATGGACATTGATTTTGATGAGGAAAATCAAACACTCAGGAGTCCTGACTCACTCTCAGCCACACAGACGGTTCAAAAAACTATGTCTTTTTTAGACAGCATGTGCCCCAGAGCAAAGTTGCTGTGGGAAAGAAATAAATAAATTGAAAATGAAAAACACCAGGAGAAATTGCGGAAGGAGACAAGGCTGCTGCTTCATGCAGAGTTCTGACAAGGGGCATCTGAGGACAACCTGTTGTGGTGGCTCGGGGGACCCATCAGGTGGACTGGAAAAGGTGGCAGGTAGTTTGCAGCGGGACACAGAGGCAGCGACCTGCCTACATCTCCCAGCCTGTGGGAGTAGGGTACTACTTATCCACAGGCAACCCACTCTGGAAAGGGTGGAGGCACTCCCTGGGGGGCTTCCT